AACCAGTCACCATCTGCAGAGCAGGTCAAGGCTGGGAGAGACTTCACTGGGGGCTGTTCAACCTCGAGCCGCTTAGCCATCCTAAGCTATTCAACCTATCTTTTCAAAGGGTTATCTGTCCACCTCCAGTAGAAACAACGTGAACAGTAAAGGGCATTTTAATCCCAAACTCACTGGTCAGTGAAAGCATTATTTTGGGGGGCATGGTGTTATGCCGAGTTGTTCTACTAGAGAATTAATGAGAACCCCACAGTTGGAAATAACGGCATTCAAGAGCTGCTTTGAATGTGTGTGGTAAATATATGTAACAAAACATTGGCCATGTCAACACTTTTACATGTATAATTCAATGACATTAATCATGATCATTGTTCAACTATCACCACTATGTATTTCCACATTTTCCAGTATCCTTAACAGAAGCTCAGAGTCCCCTATGAATAAGTCATCATTTCCCTCTCCCTCTTGCCAGCTCCTGATAACCATCAAAAACCCAGGTCTCTGTATAGTGTAGCACATAGAGATATACTTGTAGCCCTAAGTGCATCTATATGTGTGTGTTTGGGTCTGCAACATATCTATTTGTATGTGTAATAAAGCACATTTGGAATATAGTTGTGGAGATTTCCGAGAAATATCGAAATACCTAGAGAGCTTGAGGTTTATTGGGTTAAAAGACTCAGGACCATAGTCTTATGAGACAACTCAGTCAATTGGCATATTTGGTTATAAAGTTCTGCATCCTCATTTGGTGGGTAGCAACTGAGGTTGTAAAAGCTTGGCAGTAGCCATCTCAGATAGGATTATTGGCCTCTTCCCATGTGGAGCAAAAGAGAATAAAGCAAATTAAAGACTGAAAAAAGACACTAGTCCAGAAGATTAATAGCCCCTATGAACCGCAGCCTCTTAGCCTGCTACCCAAAGAACTAGAAGTGCCTGGCTACCACGACCAGCCTTTTCTGACCAGAGACGTGATAGAAAGGCCTGGACAGAATGGATGTTAAATATAAAACAAACCTCAAATCCCTAAAAAGGGACTAGACTTACTGAACTTCCGAGCCTATTAACTTGGGCCTATTGATGTTAGATGCCATGGAAACAGCTACAACCCATCGGGACCCTAGAACAACAGAACAAAACACTGCCCAGGCCTGCGCCATCCTCATAATTGCTGCTACATTAGAGCCCATTCCTGCAGCCACGATGTCGATCCATCTTGTCTAGGTCTTCCTTGTTGTCACGGCTGCTTTACCAAGTGTGAAGGCCTTCTACTTCCCAAGTGTGAAGTCCTTCTACTTCCCAAGTGTGAAGTCCTTTTCCAGGGACTGGTCTCTCCTGATAACATCTTCAGGCCTTTTCATTTGGAACTGAACTCACTCCCAGAAGCCTCCTAGAGGCCAAATAACAGATTGGATTATAAGAGAAACAATATCACCCATGAAGAATGTGCTCCCTTCAACAGCAAACTAGCTAAGAGGAGGGACCAAGAGTTAGAAATAAGGGGAAAGTGGCAGTGGGGCAGGAGGAAGGTAAAAGGAAACAGAGGAAGGCCCAAAGAAGCAAAGCAATGGATAGAGGTATAAACATAGCGGTGTACATATGTAAATACATTAATCCACAAAAATAGAGGTATTGGCCCATGTACATATATTTATATGGCAATACACTGAGGTAGG